AGAATTAAGCTCAAGAAGACGATCAGAGATAGCGATAAAAGAAGAAGAAGCATAAACTAGGAGATTCAGCGCGTTTGAGCTTTTCGGGCTTTTGACGACTACGCTCAAGCTTTAGTGAAGAGTGTGAGGCAGAGGAATGAAGCCCCAAATCCCAACTGTGCCCAATGTGAGCGGGAAAACTTGGCCCCTGCTTCGGTGGAGGCTCGTGTTCCAGACTATAGGTTCGGAACATAGTCAATGGCTGTGGGTCCCAGAATTGAGGGAAGATGGGACCGAGACTTAGGTGTGGAAGCCGAAGCTGGGATGTCTGGTGGAAGGATTTTAGCTTCGAAAACCGAGTAAATGCGATGTCTGGTAAATTTCAGGTGGCCACACGGAGACTTGCGGCCCAAGCTATGAACACTTCCCGTCTTTGGATACGTTTTCATCTATATTTTTTTAAATATATTTTTAACCTTCCTCTTCCTCTTTCTTTTTTTTTTTTTAAAATAAAAAACACATATCTATTGGACAAAAAAAATAATAATAATAATAATTCAATTTTATGTCTAATAAATTTGTTGAATTTGAAAAACATTAAATATGTCATAACCAACTATTAGACATTCTAAAAATATATTTCAATTGTTTATAAAATTTTGCAAAATCTGAAAAAATCGATAATTAAACTTTCAATTTAATTATTTATGTGAATTCGAAATAATAACTAAGTGGTTGTAGTATAGTGGTGAGTATACCCGCCTGTCACGCGGGTGACCCGAGTTCGATCCCCGGCAGCGGCGTTTCTTTTTTTTTTTTCCTTTCAAATTTTAGTGTTTGCTATAAAGAACTCGGTACCGAAACGACAGTGTTTAGTAACATGTTAGTCTTGGAACGACAAATAAGCACCAACATCAAATTTCAAGCATTAAACTTATAATGTAACCAAAATAATCTCTCAAGAAAACACAAACTGATCGATCCTCTCGAAACCGACCACAACGACAGAATTGATCAAAATTATTCGATCTTCTATTTCAAAAACCTAACATCTAATTGATCCATTCAGAAACCAACTAAACCAATTCATCCATTCATTCATTCATCATGTTCAGCTGACACCCTTTGGAGAGATGACTCACCCAAGAAAGCTTCGGACTTCAGTAATTGCTCAACTAAGCCAACATTTCAGGTTACATGAATTTCGATATGAACTACAACATGAACTCTACAGTTGATGCTCAGCGTCGTTTGTACAGACAAGGTTTTAGTTGTGGCCAATCAATATCTTTCCCATTAGAAATTTTCTCATCCTACAGAGCAAAAATAATGATTAAACCCAGATGTGAACGAGTACAAATACAATATCAACGTGAGAATTAAGTTACTCAGAGCATTTACAAACCTTTTTCTTGAAGTATAACAAAATAAACATCTTGTTTGAGAAGTCCTGCACATGATATACTAATATATAAGCAGCAAGAAAGAAACGACAATGCTAAATAATAGAGAATAAATATACCTTCAACGCTGAGACGAATCCAAGCTCACAAACAGCCCTTACGAACTCGTTGGGGTCGGCTCCTCCGTTGCTTGGGTCAAATCTGCTTTTGACTTCTGATATTAAAAGCCATCCACTGCATGTAGAAACAGAGAGTTCAGTCACCAATGTTGGGCAACTGTTATTAGGCTATGACACTAATAGAGAGCCAAAAGTATCCCACAAACCGTGGTTTGAGTACTCTTCGTGCTTCTGTCAAGTAACTTGCATAGTTGACCCCCATAAGTGAAAGGCAAAAGACAGCAACATCCACAGATGAAGAGTCAAGAGGTGTCTGCCAGAGGCATAAGCATTAACCAGTGTTTAGAGGTTTCGACAGCCAACGAGTCTAATACAAATTTCATGAACAGACAAATGAAAGAGATGGGTATAATGGGATGCTCCTATGGACATATCTATGATATCAACAGGGGGCATTATTGAGTGAACATGATATCAACAAAAAACTGCTCAAATAACATAAAATATTCAACCAATCAATCCAAGTCCTCATATTTTCTCAATATCGAAACCTAATATCATTCGAAAAATGCAACTATGCAATAAAATAGATTATACATCCAATTACTCTAAACTATAGATGCTTGTCATAACGACTTCGATTGTTGACATTAATCTATTATACAAGTTATCATCCTCTTTATGTCCCTCCCTCCAATCACTAATACCAATTCACCATGACTTATTCTTCCATGGTTGAACCTAACCATTAAATCACCAAACGTTGGGGGACAAAAAAGAAAATGTAAAACCTTTTCAACAACTTGCTAGTCATTGAGCAAATAAGACGTAATAAACGAGCCTTAGCTTATCAACAAAAATTAACAAGAAAGTGACAAGATCTCCGGCAAGTTGACAATATTGTCGACATGGCTAACTTTCAAGCAAGAAATGCAGTTGTATGTCTGAATGCATTTTACGACATCAAGTTCAAATACAGTAAGCGTACATTCGACATATCACAAGCAATAACAGAGGGATCTTTGGAAACCAGATCAAATGAGAAAACTTTATTCTTCACATTCTTTGAAAGGCGTGCATCCCCTGTAATTCAATTCGAAGGAGAAAAAAAATAAGAGAAAAATGAAGAAATAAGTATGAGTGTCCACAAAGGCTCAAATACTTGATCAATATTTAGTTAAAGGAAGGGAAAACAGAAGTTTTTTTTTCCCTAAAACTCACCACAGCCAAAATCAGCCACAATAAACGAAGGATCGTGCTCTTTCAGCCATTTTATGATTAAATTCACAGGCAGCTCAGGCCAATGCAACATTTGCTCTTGGTATCCTGTATGATACTAACCATCAAAATGTTAATTAACGCTAGTCCTAGGCCATCGAAATGAAACTCACCACCTAAAACTTCCTCAACCATCAATAAATAGACAAAGTTTTAGAAAGGAAGAAGGTGGCCTCGATGCTTTTCCTCTCAAAGAGACGAGATGTAAGCCTCAAATTTAATTTAAAGTGTTTTACAAATCCTAAACTGGTATGACCGAACATCCATAAACATAATAGTCAGAAGTTCAGGAAAAGAGAGCCTATCAATTGCCAATACAACAAAAATCCTAGAAGGAAATCTTTGAGCTCAGCTACTATTATAATTCATAGAATTTACTTGTACTATAATTCATAGAACAGTAACATGATCTACATTTAGGAAATAGAAACAGACAGACAGAACTTACCACATCAAACAGAACCTGATCTTCATTGAAATAATTAAGCGCCTCTTCCCCTCTAAATCAAAAAAGACGAACAGGATCAATTGGCTTCAAATAATGGGGGTATGACAGTGAAATAAACTTAAGACTAAGAACTCAGCTTTAAAAGAACTGATAGGAAGCTAAAATTTTAATGCCAAACGAGTCAACAAAAATTCAAGGTGACATATCAATTATATAGGCAATCTGACTCTAAATTTAGTACATACACATAGAAACACGCAAGTCCGGCAGTAAAAATAAAAGAATCGAAGAAAAAATCATTACGTGCAGGTATACAACTTCTCATTAAGCATCCTAAAATGCCCTCCTGATAAACGAGCTCGCATCTGCACCAACATCGAACCAGAATGCATACAATTAATCCTTAAAGTTCCCCAGCAAAATTGAATTCAAAACGAGGTTAGTTTCTACAAGAAGTCGAACCTTATCGAGAAAACTAGACGAGCCAGAAGCCCTCCGAGATTTTTTGCCATCAGAAGAAGTAGAAACAACGATGTCTTGGCCACTGGGTTCAGTAGCATCCGGTATACTATTGGTAAAATCTTTATTTTTGTCAGACCGGCGACGCTTCGCCCTCTTACGCTTTTTGTTTGAGCGGCCTTCGTCCGCCATTGTTGCTGTTGGCGGGAAGAAACCTTGATGAACCAATTCGCGTTGGGCGGAGGGGGGTCAAAAGGAGTGGAGCGGAGACGATGCAGAATGAAGTTGGGATTTTAGCAAAACCTGCCTCAAGATAGACCGGAAGACTCGGTTCGGTTTTATACTCGATTTTTTGGAAACCAAACCGACTGCATGCGGTTTATTTCACCAGACCCGATTTAATCATATAGTAGAAAAAATTACAAAATATTTTAAAATAAAAAATAAATGAAAATTTTATCGTTATTGGACAACTGGTCGACTACAAAAAGCTTAGCCTTGTCTAATTGAATTATTCGAATTTCTTTTAAATTTACCGATTTATTATATACCAAATTAAAAATTAAAAATTATATTCCACCTAAAATTTAATTTTATGTTTCATAAATTGATTCGTTTTAAAAAAATGTCAAATAGAAGAATATAGTTTTAAATATTATTTTGATGTATGTTTTTCTTTTTAAATGTCAATAGAAGGAATATAGTTTTAAATATTATTTTGATGTATGTTTTTTTAAAAATAGTGTACTGAATTAAAAAATACATTTTATCTTAAAAACAACAAATTTTAATTTTGGAAAAAATACTGAAATTATATATTGCAAAGTAAAAGACTAATCTAAAATAGATTAGACGACCTTTCGTAATTTTTCACCACCCTTGTCACACATTTGTCGTGTCCGGTAATCATTATTTATAGAAAAGACTAAACCTAATTGTCAATTTGTAATAATTTCTTTTGACTAATTAGTTTCTTTAAGATAAAAGAAAAAATTATAGTATCGTAATTAACATGTTCTCTTTCGAGATTAGAGGTTTAAATTCTAATACTAAGATTAAAGCGTTTAAACCCTCACATTACATTATTGCACTAAAAAAATTTGAATTTAGTTTCTAAAAATAAAATATTTCAAAAACCATAACAAGTAAAAAAAAAACATGTGGTAATAAACCTAGAAATTTAACAGTCACATGATTGAAAATATAAAAGGCTACCATAATAGACCATGTACTGGAAAATAATATCCAAAATGTATAACTTGATTTAATCCTGTATGATAAAAGGACCTGTTGATAAATAATTCATTTACAATGTAGCTCACGCTATCAATATGTATTGAATTGAAAAGAGTATTGAAAATGGAATAAGCAAGAAGCTGAGAGTAATTGCTAGTCATCCAACAATATGATAAGAAACAAACAATTTTTATCCTTGGAAGCAGCTGAGCTAGAAGAACACTCTCTCTAGTTTTTGCTCGGACTGTTAAAATCATTTAACTATCTATATTTCTAATTTAGCAAAGGGCTTCATCTTTACCAATATCACCAATCCCACCATAAAAAAACGGAAAAAGAAACAGGGCACAGACTCTTTCATGTGTAAACATAAATATATCATTTATACTTTACCCTGATCTCCTGTAGATGCTGTAGGCAACAGCGACAGTGGCCACAGCTCCAATTACCGCAACAGCAGTAAGAATTTCACTTTGTTCCCATTTTTCTGTCCAGCAGCAAGATAACTTACTCGTCTTTTTTGGAACTTGGTCTTCGGAAGGTTCTTTCGATGTTTCCTCGATTCTGGTACTTTTCCCTGAACTTTCGTCTCTGCAACAAGTGAACCCATTACTGCCCTGGCAACAACCTGCTACTGTTTCTACTTTACTTTGATCGCCATTTTCTTGAATTTCATCCTTGCTTTTCTTTGTATCTTCTCCATTTGGAAGCTTTTGTTCAACTTCCTTTTGGACTTCCTCAGGATTTGTCCCCATTTGCCCTCTGGAATTGTAATTGTAATGTCAATTTAATGTTCTACTATTGGGTCGAAAATAAACGACAAGGGAGCACCTAATAGTTGCATCATGGCCCTTTTAAATTTATAAATTGTTCTTTGGGTTACATCATAAGGTTTAGAGGGTAGCCCATCTAAATCAGAAACAGTAGAGCAACCGTGATCGAGATAGCTATAGAGAAGCCAAAGTGTCAGTCAGGTAGCTGTAAGAATTCCCTGACTATTTGATTGAAATAGAAGCATTGAATGAACACAAAACAGAGAATCAATGGAGAAAAACTCAAAGTCCAGTACATTAGGAAAGAAAATAGCATAGGCATCGCAGCCGCTATTGAGAGTGATTTCTTCGCTGTTCTTACGAATCCCCAATCACTCTCTTAACTTGATATCATCCAAAGATGAGAGTTGTTGAATGGCTCTAGTGGGTTTTTATGATCCGATAAAGAATCAAACCTAGCCCCTTCTTCTCTGCTTTTCCTAAGGCCGAATTGTAAACTTCAAGAGAATGAAAAGAATAACTAAACACTCGGCAGATTTGAGAAAACAGGTAACCTCTGCTCCTAACCTGACTTGCCTGAAGTTTCACACCCCAAACAACATTCTGTGTATCCTACTAATACTACTCTCCCACCCATACCCACACGTTCCACTACTAATCGTTGGGAACTGAATTCCTTCTTATGACCATCCTCACGTATACCTTCACTATAGGAGGTCACACAGTAGTCAATGAATATATTGCAGAACCTATTTAGGCCATTTATTGCACGAAACAAAGGGTTATAGTGATGAACGATGACTACAATAAGACGTCCACACAGAAGTTTAATCGATAAAAATAAATAGCTCCAGCTTTAAATTTCAAACGCTCATGTCTACTCAGTGTCCCACAGCAACAAGGGAAAATGGAAGGGTTCACAACACCAAATTCGAGGCACATAGGAAAAATGGAGAGGATGATGTCCATGATCTGTAAACTACATGATCAGAACTTTAGAGGAAAAACTGCTTATCGATACAAAATGCATCTCCGACAATATTATTGGGTGGACCAATAAAAAAGAATGCTTCATCCTTATAACTTTGTTATTAGTATTCTCATACCAGCAATGCTAAAATAAGTTTAGCATCCAGTTCGGGGAATAAAATGTAATTGGGAAAAAGCACAAACCTCAAAAGCCTTTCCACGACTTCGCCCTTTGCAATGTGCTGTTCAAACAATTCAGAGACATCTTCAGGAGTTACATATCCGTACCTGTAAACAAGAAAATTAAACCCAAAATTCAACCAACATACACTTAAAATATTCAGTTAAAGAGTTTGCTCTTTAGTAAATACATTAAGCACCAAGCTAGCTTTGAAGAATCTTACCAATGACCGGTAGTTTTCCCATCCACACCAGGTTGGTATATGATCAAGTTTCCGGCATACTTGTGTCCTCCAACGTGTGAACATGGACTAACATAAACCCGATCCTTTAGTCCTCGTAACCCAATCTCCTCCTCAAACTTTTGAATAAGAATGGGTCCACAGACACCACATCTCCGATCTCGACTAGCATGAACACACACAAACACATGAGAGCCAGTGAAAACCTCTGGCTCTCTGGATGCCCAGGGTTTATCATTCACAAGCACATCATCCACAAAGCCATCTACATCTGAATCTTCTAAACCCCTATAATCATCAAATCAAAAGGAAGAAAAGTAAAAACGCCTTAGAGACTCAAACCGGAATAGATAAAACTTACGAGAGGAAAACAAACGAAGAACTAAAATGGAAATGAAAGGAAATACAACGAAACATAGCAGCACAAATAACAGGAACAACACATTCCAATTCCTCCAAAATCTAACTGATTCATAATTTGTCTGGCCGCAGAATTGATATAATGAACTACATACAAAAATCCAAATTGTGGTAATTTGCTAGCGATCACATAACTTAAACGAAACGAATCCGAGAAACTAGTCGGGAAGAGTACTCTAATCCGGGAAATTGTGGTAATTTGCTAGCGATCACATAACTTCGTTATGTACTCTAACCAAAGAAGTCAACGCGAGATGAAATAGAGATGAACACAAGGATTTCATAATATTCGATAAAAACATCCACTATATCGTAAAGAAATAACACAAAATATCTCTGCATGTTTAATTTTTCATATCCTGGAACTCTTGGCTAAACTAGATTCCATTTAAACCTCGAAACTTACCTGTATTTGACCATTTCGGGGAAAATCAACACATCTCCATCCGAAAATCCAGTTTCTTCACGTCCCGAGAATATTGTCAGCTTCGTCTGAAAAAAACCAAATAAAAAGAATAAGTTACAGGCAAAGGCACATCCAATCCAATCCAATACGTGAATTCACCAATTCCAACAAAATCAAATCGAAAACGCCAAATTCCGAAGAAATATAATTTTCAAATATGGAAACAAACAACATCGATTCTATCAACGCAAACCTTCACAGAGAGATCATCCTTGCGAGCTTTGAGAGCGGCAGAAAGGAGTCTAGGGAGGACATCGGAATCAGACGCTTCAAGATGCGAGGGCCAGGCCTCCGGAGTCTTGTAGCAGAGAAATACGTGTCGATCATAAGCACTGACGGTGCCGGTGAGTTTGCTCTGATACATCTCCTCTCGTCGGAATCCATAGTTCTCGTCGTCGGCGACGGAGATGGATAGGTTATCAGAGGCCATGGGAAAATCGAGGAAACGAGGTCAGAGATGAGAGAAGCGAAGGAAGTAGAAAATGGTATTGGAGAGAGCGCGCTATTGGAAAGGATGGAGTAAACGGAGCGCGGAACGAGAAGGGATTGGATTTCTTCGGCTTCTGCATCTCATTTGCTGACGTTTTAAGAGGCTATGGACTCACACGCGCTTCCGAATTTTTTTTATTAATTTTATTTTATAATTTATTTATGAACATGCCAACGTATGATGCGTTATCATTTTTACCGTGGATTTTTTATTGGGATAATTCAGTTTTTACTTTTTACAGACCTTCATAGATTGTGAGATGCTTTTTTTTAATCTCGTGTATTTATTATATCTAATTTTATGCCTTTAGTGTTAATTGATAACTGTTTCTCATTTTTAAATTTATATTTAAATTAAATTATAAACAAATTTATTACAAAATTATAAAATAAAACTATTTCAAATCTAATCTTTATTTTAATAATATAACGTCACTTGTCTATCATGGGCTCGTCCGTAGATGATAATCTTTTTTTTTTTTTACAAAATTACGATCGTAATTTTAACTTTGACTTAACGAACCAGGCTTTAGAGAAATTATTAGAAATATAAAAAGGCTAAATATATAAAAAGGTAACTTTTAAATATTCTTCCCTTTTAAGACCTATCCAATTTTCCTTTTTCCATTATATTCTTATTATAATTAAAAAGCTAGGAACAAAATTAATGTTAAGTAACCGTTTACCTTAAAAAAAATTGTTTTTAATAATTTAATATTTGACTATAAAATTGACTGAATTGTTAATTATTACAAGATTATTGAAAACGTCTAATTAAAGGGGTTTAAAAACAAATTTATTAGTTTCACAAAAATTAGGAATTAAAAGTTTTAATCAAATTTAATTGTTCAAATAAGTAAATAAAACATATATTTATTCATCTTAATTCAAATAAAAAATTAAATTGAATTAATTGTAAAAAATTTTAAGATATAAGAGTCAAATTATTGTATAATAACAAACGTAGATTAGAAAATTTGCTAATATAATTTTATAATTTATGTTTAATACATTTAATAAAGAAAGGTAAATTCGATGACGTATAGCTCTTTTTTTATTATTTATTTTGATAGAACGTATCTCTCTAGATTAAAATATTAAAAATGTCAAATTTAATTCAATTTTTAAATCAATACATGTTTTTTTTTAATGTCACCATCAATATATTTAACTAAAGACAACTGGCTGAATCTTCTATTATTACATAATTTCATTAAACAATAATTAACGTCTGCTTATATATTATGTTACGTTGTTAATACCTGGTAAGCAAAAGATTAAAATATTCAATAGTTAAAATTTAGTTTAATAATCATTTTGTTTATTTTTCTATTTTCCTTTGAATTATATTAATTTATTCACAATTTTTTTAAAGTTTTCACATTACATAAAAACACGTGTAATTAAATATAAAAACAAAATCAAGTTTTTTTTATTAAAAAAAGTTTATAAAATTCGAAAATTAAGTATACAAACAATACAACCACCCCATAAACTTATTTGTTTTATTGTCATTTTCACCCATTTTTTAAAATCAAGCTAATTTTTTAAAAAAATTAAAAATAGTTTTTTATTTGTAGAATTTGATAAAAGAAATCATATGCCTCCAAGGAATATGAAAACTATATTAAGAAAATTAGGAGAAAACAACATAACTTAAAACAAGAAAAAACAAAAAAACAAAAAAACGGAATTTACATTTTTTTGGCTTTTTAAAAATTAACTTAGTTTTTGAAAACATTGGAAAAAAGTAATAAAGTAAGAAAACTACAAGTAGAAATAATGTTTATAAGATAAATATTTTAACTTTCAATTTAATGTCTAATAATTTCTGGATAAGATATATTTAAAAATATATTGAATCTATCAGGATTATGCACACAAAGTAGCTCGAGAAATGATCATTGTAGTAACATAATATCAGGACGAACATTACAGATTATGATACAACAGTGAAATAGTGGGACAAACATCACGAGGTATCAAGATTTTTCTAACAAATTTTGTAGATACAAATTCAAGATGTACCTGCCTGTGGACAAAACATCAAGTCTCTTTTCACTTGGTTCATACTTCCCCTTCCTCAGCTGATAGCGAAGAGTTACAGCTGAGATAGTGTATGTTTGGCCTTCTATTGTCACACTCTCCCCGCATTGTAAGTTCTGAAACAAAACACAAAATCAATCATTCTTTTCCCCCCTACACATAAGAAACTAACACTTCTTTCCTAAGTGAACTATAAAATTAACAAAGAATGCACGATGAGCCCAAGCCCAAACGCACCGCTAGCAGATGTTGTCTGCTTTGGCCTGTTATGTATCACCGTCAGCCTCACGATTTTAAAACGCGCCTACTAGAGAGAGGTTTTCACACCCTTATAAGGAATGTTTCGTTCCCCTCTCCAACCGATGTGGGATCACACAATCCACCCCCTTGGGTCCCAGCGTCCTCGCTGGCACAGTGCCCGGTGTTTGGTTCTAATACCATTTGTAACATCCCAAACCCACCGCTTGTAAATATTGTCCGCTTTGGTCCGTTACTTATCGCTATTAGCCTCACAATTTTAAAACACGTCTACGAGGGAGAGGTTTCTACACCCTTATAAGGAATGCTTCGTTCCCCTCTCAAACCAATGTGGGATCTCACAATCCACCCCCCTTGGGTCCTAGTGTCCTTGTTGACACACCGCCCGGTGTCTAGCTCTAATACCATTTGTAACAGCACAAGCCCACCGCTAGTAGATATTGTCGGTTTTGGTCCGTTATGTATCATTGTTAGCCTCACGATTTTAAAACGCGTCAACCAGGGAAAGATTTCTACACCTTATAAGGAATGCTTTGTTCCCCTCTTCAACCGATATGAAATCTCACAAAATCACTCCAAAACATGGTAGTTTTCTGTGGTCTCCTATGGTGCACAACTAGGTGGGGAAAGTTTTTCTTGTATTGTACAGTCCTTGAGCAAGTATCTCTATTGCGGTGCGGTGCTCACCTTGGAGATGCAATCAATCTTTTTAAACTCTCAATGTTCTTATATAATTTTCTTGATATAAGGCAAACCAAAAGCAAAAGGAGCACTTCCTTCTTCACTCTACCCTTGTGCTCGCCAGGCTCACCATTGTTGCAACATTCAAGTGTGGAAAATAGTGAAGGCGTGCCTAGTTGAACAGAGGCTAAGTGTCTTGCCTACACTGTATTCTTTCCCTAACTGCTTAGCATAATTTTATTCACTTATTTATAAGAGTCTCGCTTCTTGATTGCTTCTGGTCTTGAAGCAATTAAGAACCAAGGAAAGCTGAATGAACTCAGTAGATCAACCAAGATACATGCAATCAGCATAACAGTAAATTCGATGAATCAAAATCACAAAATCTCCTAAATCAAAAGAGCTTCATACATTAAAACTTCCAATGCCGACTCTGCAAAGAATCAATATCCCTAAATGTGAAATTAAATGCACAATTTTAAGCTTGATTTCACAACGCCAGAATAACATATGTTCATATAAGAAAGCCAATATGCAAATCAAAGACAAGAAAGAGAAGGATCGAGAGAGAAAATGGAACACTCACGGGCGGAAAACAACGAATGCCGAGATTCTTCGGCGGAGGAGTGATTTCAATGACTTTGTAAGGGTCAAAATTGTTCCGTTCCTTATCTTTCCTTCTGCAATCAATTTGGAGAACTCGTGTCTGCAAAACGGCCATTCATTTCAAGAATTCAAACTCGATTGTGAACAGAAATCCGAGATATCAAAATTGAAAACACAACGAAAACAACGAAACAGTTCAATCGCTTGGAGAAAACAAAAGAAGCAAATCAATAGTAGCCTTACCTTCTGATGAGGACCAAGAGCTAGATTGAACGATGCCATTGCCATAATCTCTCTTCTTTCAACCGTCTCGCCGTGCTAGTGGGAAGAGACGGAGAGAAAACCAGGAACATCGAAAGATTCTTCTGTAATTTCTTTTGGTGTTCCATTTTAACTTCGTGCACACAGGTCGAGGGGAAGAAGGAAGGCCAGAAAAAATGTTTTTTATTTTCACTTTAAAAAAAAAAAAAAAAAAATCAGATATTTTAAGAATTAAAATATAAGGTTAAATTTTCATTTGGGTACATCTACTTTCTTTTAATTTCATTTTAGTCCATGAGAATACAATGAATGTAATGGTGAATCGAACCAAAGAACCGACCGGGCCGAATCAACGGGTTCATATTGGTTTATTATAATGCCGAACCGACCGACGAGACCGCATGTTGGCCGGTTCATATGATGGTTAACTGAGCTCACATTCAGTTCTTCTACCCTTTTCTTCTTCTTCTTCTTGGTTTCCATTTTTGCAACAGATTCAGAGCAATTGGGCGACTGTGAAGAACACCTCTTCCGATGGCTGAAACCGAGAAGCCAAAATCGAAGGCGCGGCCGATTGTGCGCCTGGGGATTTTCCTAATTTCTCACAGTATTTTCTTCAGGTGCGCTGTTGTTGATTTTACATGGATTTGATTTTCAGCTCGTATCAGAATCTAGTGATTGATTAATGTCGTTGTTCTTTTCTTTTATTTTTTGGGTGTTTTCTAGCGTGATTTGCTTCTCTGCAGGGGTTTTAGCTCTTCTGCTACTACCAATGTTCGCTATTAACACCTACATTTCCGAGAACGCTCTCATGCCAGGTCCCTTTGATATTCATCATTTTTTTGTTTTCGTGATTGAACGCCAGTTCAGTTGAATGATTTAAGATATATTACGAATTAGGATTCATTTGAAGCTGCGAAGTATCTCAAATTATAGGATCATCAAATTTATGCCTTCTTGTTCTTTTGCACTGATCTATTCATTTTACCTTTATTTGGATAGAACAGGTCTCTTAATTGTGGCACTATATTTTCCCACAGGTTCTGCAAATACCATGCTCTCGGGTCAGGAAGTCTCAGAGGCGAACGACTTGGTGAAGGATATGAAGGGCTTGAATTCGAAGTCTGGCTCAACAATCTTGTAAGTATTTATGCACTAGTTTTATCCCCTTTACTTCTCCTTTAATACCTTAATGGAAGCTCTTTTATGCTTAAGATTTTGAAAATCACCACTTCTTAGTGTAAATTTTTTCTACCTTAAGATTATGATAAACAAATTTGATTTTCTATACATTTTTCAGTGGAAGCCAGCAGATTTTAGCACAATATATATCAAACTTGGGTGCAGAAGTTAATTACCACAGGTTCCAACCGCAATCTAGTCGGTTCCATCCACTGCACTTTTTTTCTAGCCCTGATTCTGGGATCGTTCAGGACAATGTTAGTTGCATGACACAGGGTATTAACACTGTTGGAATAATAAGAGCACCACAAGCAGATGGAAAGGAAGCCATCGTTTTGGTGACACCTTACAATCCTGTTAAGACTAGTCTTCATGAGACTTTGTCTCTTGGTATTGCTTATTCAATATTTTCTTTGCTTACACAAGTCACTTGGTTGGCTAAAGACATTGTATGGCTTGCTGCGGATTCACGATATGGGGAATATGCTGCAGTTTCAGCTTGGCTTAGAGATTATCACACTCCTTCATTTGGTCGATCCAGCATGATTGACACATATACTTGTGCTGAAACAAATGTCCTTTATGAATTTGAAGCAAACCATGTAACAGAGAAAGAGAGTCTAGATGATTTTAAACGTGCTGGAACGATGGCTGCAGCCCTTGTCATTAAGGTTTCAAATAGAAGTGAACACTTTGAGGATAGTCTTAGTGTCTATGCTGAAGCGTCTAATGGTCAGATGCCGAACCTCGACCTCATCAATATTGTGAATTATCTAGCAGAACACAGACAAGGTTTTCAGATTAAGATCGAGAAATTTTGGCCTTTACTTGACTGCAAATGGCTCAAGTTTTTGGGCGAAATTTTTGAGACAATAGGAAAGTTTATCAGAAGCTTGAACCCTGAATGGAAGTTTGGCATGCTAGCTTCTGACTATGTTGATGGCACCGCCACACTTGCAAGTTCATTGTACTACCAGGTGGTTTGCACTTCTGTTCATTTTCTTGGAGATTGTTGTTTATAGTTTTATTTAATGAAATAAGGAAAGATTTTTCATTATCATTAATGTGAATAATGGAGATTATTTCACTTAAATTATCTATGTTCTTTTTGCCATTAGGCTGTGGGTATTCCTACTGGCCCTCATGGAGCTTTTCGAGATTACCAAATTGATGCAATTACTGTGGAGATGTCCCCCAAATTTTCTTCTGGTGTCAAGGTCAGGCGTGATGAATTCATACTGCGAGGTGGCCGGTCAGTGCTCATTTTTGCCTCAATGATTTTATAATGTGCTCTCCTCCCACCCCTCAACTTTTCAGGCTCGCTACATGAATAAATGTTTAAAACCAATGGTTTCCTTAATGGGGTTTGGTCTACATTAAACAATATTTTCTACTCTCAATGTTTCACTGTCGATCTTCAATGTTTAAATTTTAATTTGTAACTAGTTTTAATGGGGGCATGAGTAAATACTTTTTCTTCCCTAAAATAAATTTTGATTGACTGATAGTTTCTCTTTTTAAATGACTAGAATTTACGTGTTAAATTCATTCAAGTGAATTTATTGCCTAAAGTCATTTTGATGTATGGAAATGAGTTTAGATTTTAACGCCTCGAATGATCAAGATATTCATAATTGGATTTGAAATTAGAAGTTGACAACTTACCGCCCAGCTTGCTGGCAATTCTGCATGCTAGCAACGAAATTCTCCTGATCCTTTTGATTTGGCTAAGGATTCTGTATTTGGTTGTGCAGGCTAATTGAAGGAGTTGTACGGTCAGTGAATAACCTCTTGGAGAAGTTTCATCAATCATTCTTTCTATACCTTATGGTATCTACCAGCAAATTTGTATCAGTTGGTGTATATATGATTGCCTTTGCTCTCCTAGTTGCTCCACTACCAGCAGTTGCGGCCTCTCTCTATTCTTATGCTAATAACTCGAATCTAACCTTGGAAAAAATCGAACCTGCAGCTCCAGCAAATCCTGATGATGAGCTTATTGTCTCTTTAAGATCATGGAGATGGCTTAATGCTGCAAAAAGAGTTTTTGTTGTTCATCTATGGGGTGCTGTTGTTTCATTACTTCCATACTTCATCTGCCCAATACCTGATTACAGTCCTACAACAAACTCTATTATTTGGGCGTTGCTTTCACTGCTCACGCTACTAATTCTGTCGGTGATATTGGGCTCTCCACTTAGTTCAACTAAATCTTGTGAACAGCGGATTCAAGAGTGGGCGTTCTTGAAAGCAATGACCACCTCAGCGGCCTTTATCGGTTTGTGCCTCATGTCAGTAATTAACTTTGCTACTGCAGAACTTGGAGCCTTCTTGGTGGTGTCCATGTGCTTGCTGGCGCATCCCCTGAAGCTTGATTTAGTGGCTGGGAACTTCAAAGCTCTCTCAAGGGCAGCCAGTAACCTCGTTTTGGGATTCATAGCTTTTCCGCCTGTTACTTTCTTCTTGTTTAAAGCTGCTTTGCAAGGTTTTGACAATCTACATCTCGGGGACTTCTGGAACTGGATGGAGACCCTCTGGGCATGGAACAGTGCTACTTTCCTCTACTTAGGTATGGTTCACCTTCCTTGCTGGGTATTATGTACACAAATTTTACTCCATCCATGTTGAGCTACCTTGTTTAGTTTTTTCCATGACATTTGTTTAGACTTTCACTTCGTCCTGAGAAATTGGTTTCAATGGTATTTGAAGTAGTTACACGTTCATCCCTTGCATGGTAGCTTCTGTAAGCAGGCCTTAAAGCCTACTACTTTGTATCACAGTTGTTTATACTTGTAGGACTGATTCAGTAAGCTTTTACCCTCTTGGAAATTGTTTTTGGCTATTTCTCTTTTCGAACTAATTGGACAATCACCTTCTCTATCTCCAATGATCAGTGTCTCTTGAGTTTCTCTCTCCAGTTACAGCATTTAAAGATCATAACACATTGGCAAATGTAGAATTTAGCAACAAATTAGCTGCTGAGGTTTCTTTTAATCCTTGTGAGTCTCTGACTATGCCCATCCATATTGTTTCTCCATAGAAAGATCTCAGATCCGTGGGGAATCTTTTCGATGCGTTTTAAAACCTTGAGAAATAGCCCCGAAGAAAAAGTCCAAAGAGGACAATATCTAATAGCGATAGGGTGGGCTTGAGCTGTTACAGAAGATGACTGATGAGGTGGGGTTTCTTTCTCCTCTCGTGATATTCTTCAAGGGAATAGGTCCTCGGTAACGTGCATCTCTTGTTTCATATTTTCGTTCTTTTTTGTTTCCAATTTCTTATTAGTATATAATTTTGGAAAGCACTTTTTTTTTGTTGGGGTCAATTTTGCATGGTCAACTAACCTAATGTTAATTTATTGATTTAGTTAAAAAATTTATAAAAAAGTGTGTGTATATATATATATATATATATCAAATGCTTTGAATCCTTTTGTCTGAGAAAAAGTCGGCCACCAATTAAGGTATATTAATTGGCACTTTTTAAATGCTCTTTTTTTCCCTCCATGCATCCAATATTATTTCGAGACTTGTTTGACATTACCTACAATACTATTACTTTTTTTTTATAAACAACAAATATAAAAGAAAAATAATTAAGAAGCTTTTTGTATGTATTTTGTAAATTTTATTGATAAAAGAAAAATTATAAGTTCATATACTATTTATTTGGGATATTTTTAGCATGTGCTTTCAATGAATGTGGAAAATAATTCATGTTGTTAATTTATTAAAGTTTATATTAGTATTCCTAATATAAATTTTGGAAGCATATTCACATATTCATGCTACATTTTTTTTTTTCATCAAAACTATTATTAATTAATTAATTTTAAAATATTAAATTTATCAAAAATATTAAATTTATCAAAAATTAAATATAGACATTTAAAGGTATATAGACGAGACTAAATTGACATATTAGTTAACATTTCACATTTGTTTTTTAAAAAACCTATATCACACATAAATTAGGTTAATATTTTTAAAAAATAAGGAAAAAAAAATGATAGCCTACGAGAGGCACACGTGGGAGGTGACGAGGACACACGTGGAAGTGGGAAACGAATGGTAGATAGCCGCCGCACCACCCGCTTTTCGTGGGCTTAACTCTTCTTTTTGGCGCCAAAATGAAGGATTTCAACAGAATATTAAATTAATAAATAAAATACTATAAATTTTATTTATATAATAACTTTTATTAATTTTATAAAGGAAAAAAAAAACATAATTTCCAACAAATAACAAAATTGTCTTTCCCGCCAAAGTCCCCGGGCAGCTCGGGCAGTACCCAGAGGTAAACAAAAACCGCGTCAAATTCAAAATTTAAAATAATAATATTATATGTCTTTGGATTCCTTTGAATGGCCACGTGTGTCTGTCTACCAAACCAAACACTCTTTTCCCTCTCCAACATTGGATTCCCTTATTTATTTATTTATTTTTTAATTTAATGACAACAACAAAAATAATAAGAATAATAAAGGAATATTCAATTAATACATTTCTAAATAACTCATAATTTATAAGAACAAACTTAAAATTTCATGCCATACTCTTAAGCACGGACAAAAATAATATAAATAATACAAAAATTTGAAATTAAGACTTTTGGTATATCAATCAAACTGATATCTAATTTATATATTAAATAACGAAGGTTTAAAATTACTATTAATACACTTCAATTTTATGTATTAACTATACACGTATTTCATACATCATAGATATACCTATCTCGATACATTTAAAAAAAAAAAATCTTATTTTAAACATTACATTATTCATTTTATCTCGTTGACATGAGAGCTATAAAAGATGTTCGAACGGGATAAGTGTAATATACGTAAGAGGTAAAGAAGCACGTGGAACTAAGGAACTAAATTTGTGACATATGTTTCTCTCTCTAAAAAAAAATAGATTTTCGTATGGTCTCCATCACAAATCTTTAGTACTCCAATTAATTCCCCATATTATTATTATTTTAATGTCTTGTAATTTCCTTACCTTATTATTTATTAAATTTATATTTCACCTTATAACCGTTAATTATTATTATTATTATTATGATAATAATAATATTAAAGCCATAGAGAACAGAGCAATTTGGAAGTTTTATTGGTGTGTTTCCTAGAAGGAAACACATGCAAATTTCAAAATAAAATTGCAAAATAAATGAAAATAATAATAATAATAATAATTTAGAAAAGCCAAACAGGGTTGGTCTGTGGTCAAGGGGTTTGAACAAGAAGAACAGCCACAACTTTCCTTTTCTTTTATAAATTTTCTCATCTGGGTCTGTTTGTTTCCCGAGAAAATTTTAGAATTCCCAAATTTTGAAACAGAGCTAACCTACAACACTCGTTTAGATAACAAATATCAAATCCTTTGTACATCATAATCACCATACTCCTCAGGATTACCAAGAACAGTAAAAAAAAAAAAAATTATAATACTAAAATTAAACAAACACCCAAAATCACAAACCCTAAATTATGAACTAAACAAACCCAATTGGCCCTTTAAACTCGGATCTTAAACACAGATTCTAAATCAGGAGGATTAAAGAACTCCCTACCATGATTTTGATTAGAGCTTGATTTTAGCGACCTACGCTTTCTCGGCGCCGCCGGGCAAATCAGTTTCTCCGGTATTCTCGCTTCTTTCGCCGTCGGCGTTGTTGAATGCGACTTCTCGCCGTCGTCCTCGCCGTCTTTCGCTCTCGGTTTTGTGGTAATCGGCTTCAACGATGACCTCGCCGGCAGCCCGGCGATTACCCATTTTTTCCCTTCTGGTTCAAATCCGCCGTCGATTTGGGACTTTTTGGAGAATCCCATTCGAAACTCAGATGTAATATTGGGGGAAAAGGGAGCGGCGGTGAAAAGCAGAGGAGGCGAAAAAAACAGAGGAATCGTTGAGGAACAAAAATGGAGGACAAAAGAGGATTTTGTGGAAAAATAAATAAGAAAGGGAAGGACAAAGGGGGGATTTTCATTATTTCTTTTTTCAATTATATTATTTTATATTCGGGTAGCGCGTAACCTTGACCCAAAAGCCGTCTAACAACAGAGATTCTCCGGAAAGGAGGCTGCCCGTGTTTCTTACGGGCAGGCGTATATGAGGGAGGGCTGCATTTTGGCGCCAAAAATTGGGAGTTTCAGTCCCCAACGGCTCTTTTTCCCGCCTAAGTTTTATTTTTGTTGTTTTCCGGTTTTGCCCCTTATCATTTCTCTGGTCTGGTGGAGTGGGAGTTTCTGCCTGTCAGGGCTTTTACCAGTGGATAGAATGGGCCTAAGCCCATTCCACTTATCAATGGGCTTTCATTTTGTCTGGCCCATGAGTTGTCATTAATTAATTATCATAGTAAATGGGCCTTATGAAATCCGCCCTCTGACATATGACGTCATCACTGACAGCATTCCACGTGGACCATTTCGCTATTTTCCACCTCACCCAATAGAGATAAATAGCTAACATCCAACGCCTGTTATTCACTTATATTCCAGTGGGCCCCTATCGTGCCTTGGGCCCACTGTAGGGGCCGACCTCTGCAAACTGAATAATAGAGGAGGACCTGACCACAAAATTTTAGTATGGTACATGTAACTTATAGAGCTTTGAAAATGTATGTATTCTCTCTTACTGTACATACTTCTAGTTATCGATACAAATTCTTTAGCCAATATTCTCTTTGCATTTTCTCTATCATGTTATTTCTGTTCATCTAGATCGAGTGTGTGCGTTGTTGTGCGATCCTAACGACTCCTTCCACGCTGATTTATTTTAGGTTCAAATTTTATTTTTGTTCTTTTATTTATTTTTATTATTTTTTTTATCTAAAAAATAAAATTTCAATATTTTTATATTTTACATTTTTAGAGAGCATTTTTTTCTTCTTCTTATTATTAACTCTTAAAAATAAATTTTAACAATTTAAAATGTAAATTTTTAAAAATTACAATAATATGGTAAAATTATTTGGCCCATTACAATCTCTTTTTGGGCCCAGACATTTAGTGGCCCAGTCTCTTACCCATCATTTGTTTGGGGCATTACAATCTCTTTTGGGCCCAGACATTTAGTGGCCCAGTCTCTTACCTATCTCATTTGTTTGGGCCATTACAATCTCTTTTTGGGCCCAGACATTTAGTGGCCCAGTCTCTTACCCATCTCATTTGCTTGGCCCATTATAGTCTCTTGTTGGGCCCAGGCATCTAGTGGCCCAGTCTCTTATTTTATTATTATTTTTATTTATTTTTAATTTGTTTCTCAGCATCCAACGGAATGAAACCTGTAGTTCATGCAAACCCTCAACCTCCAAATCACACATCCACGTGTCAACCTCATCGCCACCTCCACTCCTCCATATATCCTTCCCATGGCTTCTTTCTTTTCTCTCCCACTTGAATCTTCCTCCTAATTTCTCACCACCACCGCCGCCATGGGTGACAGATCGCCGCCGCGCCAGGTCCAAGTGCACCACCAACAACAACGCCCCTCCTACCTCCAAGAACCCACTTGGAAGCTAACTGGTGGCCGCCACACGGACCAACAGCACCAAGGCCCCTCCGCCTCCAAAATCCTCGCCGTCGTGACCCTCGTCCCCGTGGGTGGCACCCTGCTAGGGCTGTCCGGGCTGACGTTGGCTGCAACGCTGTTCGGTCTGGCCGTGTCGACGCCAGTGTTCCTGCTGTTCAGCCCCGTGATCGTGCCGGCTGCTGTGGCGATATGCCTGGCGATCGCAGCGTTCATGACGTCGGGGGTGTTCGGGCTGACAGCGTTGTCGTCGCTGTCGTGGGTGTACAGGTATATTAAAATATGATATTTAGAGATATTTTAATAATTAGCTAGTATATCTGAGATATTCTGGGAGTTGTTAATGGTATATTTTATATTAGATTTGACTAACCCTATATTTTATTTATTTGCAAGAGTGGGTCAATTAAATATTTTTCGTAGTATTGGTTGATAGTTCGTATACTATTTAAACGTGGTAAACATGAATGAAGATGATACTTTCGATCTCAATTCTATCTCTATTTCTGATTCTTAACAAGGTACATACGGCGGGCGACGGGGACGGTGCCGGAGCAGATGGACATGGCGAAGAGACGCATGCAGGAGATGGCTGGGTACGTGGGGCAGAAAACGAAGGAAGCTGGGCAAGAGATTCAGAGTAGAGCACAAGAAGGAAGGAGATCCACAACAGAACAGCGAACCTAAGACCATGTTTGTTTGTGTGTGTGTGTTTGTGTCTGTGTCTTTGTCTGCGTTCAATTATGTTCCTCTTTTACTGTCTTTTTTTTTCCGTTAAAAAACAGTGTATCTTGGTCGTGTATTTTGTGTATTAACGTGTGTTCCGACGTTTAATTAATTCGCGTATTAATGTGTAATTTTCTTATGTTTTAGAAATTTCTATTGAGAATACAATGTAGTAATTTTCTATTTGAGTGTTTTTGTAAATTTCTAGTGTGCGAGTATTTTACCCTAATACGTAATAGGGTCGAAACGGAAACTTCTTCCTAATAGAGGGTTTAAAAATTGTGAGACCGACGACGATACATAGCAAGCCAAAATGGAAAAATCTCTTTCGAGTGGAAATCTTTTTTCGAGTATATGCATTTTAAAACCAAAAATCTCTTCCTAGTCGATATATTTTAAGATCGTGAGGCTGAATTTGAAAATCGGTCAAAGTGGAAATCTTTTTCGAGTGTCGATCTGAATTGTTATAGATAGATGATATCAATAGATGATATCAGCCACTTTTACCATTTATTTATACACATTTCTCGATAATAACTTATGAAGAATGAATCCATCAATAAACTTCCATCAATAAACTTAATATATTGTACATCGAGACATGAACCCTCTTTGTCGTCTCAATATATCGTATTAGAGAGTGACTCTATACATCAACTTCTAATCAAGGCATAAATCTTCTCGTGTCTATACCAAGTCATTCCTACATATGTATCGGAGAGTGACCTTAAATATCAACTTCCAATCGAGGCATAAACCCTCTCGTGACGGGACTTTTAACTCGAACTTAAATCTTAAGTCCTCCAATTTAAAATGGGGGCGCCAGCGGACAATCGTCAGCAAGGAGGCTAAATTACCAAAAAGCCAGCTCTGTTGATCATATCCACAGAATTACCAAGATTCCAGACAGGCAACCGCGTGTTTCGACTTTCGGGCATTTTAAGAATCGGTTACCAAATTCCCAATAAAAAAAAAAACGCATCAGAATCCCATTCCCATCAACAAAGAGAGAGAGTGGCAGTCACTTTAATTACCCGAAAAGCCCAGGGGCAAATTCGTAATCAGGTTTTTATCATAACAATAAGACACAACACTCGCTGAATCAAATCAAATCAAATTCTAAAAAAAATGAAAATGGCTTCTCCATCTCCTCTCCAAATTTTCTCACTCAAATCCTCGCATTCTTCCACCTTAATTTTCCTAAAGTTCAAAACTTTCATCCACACTATCCTCTTCTCTCACTTATGTCGCTTGGCTCGACCCATCTTCCGAGCCAAGTCGACGGTTGTTCAAATTCTAAAGAGAAGTTATCACTTCAAGAACAAGAACAAGAACAAGCTCATTTTCGGGTCGTTTAGACTCCACTACAACTGGTGCTCTTCCCACGTAATGCCCGTTCCGGATCCAACGTGGGAAGGGCATGTTGACTACGACCATGCTGCCGCAGCAGCTTCCACCCCGGACAGCCCACAGCTGTCCGGGTACTTGCAGTGGCTGGAGGAGAGAAAATTAGAGGGCGAATCGACGACGACGGAGGTGAACGAGATCGACAAATTAGCGGAGATGTTCATTGCAAGATGCCATGAGAAATTCAGGCTGGAGAAACAGGAATCGGCTAGAAGGTTTCAAGAGATGATGGCTAGAAGCATGTGAAGAAAATTTGTGCTGATTGGGTGTGGTAATGTCTTGTGAAATTCTTGTCTAATGTATATTATTTATTTACATCCCCTAATCAAAATTAAGCTTCCTGATCATCATCATCTACTGGTTTTTATTTGATTTTGTTTTCCAGAAGCGAAATATAAAGAGATTATGAACAGATTTAGTGGTAAAAAATGAAACCCAAATGAATTGCACAAAATTGGTCATTTGGATGGGGAGAATAATCAGACAGAGCAGTATGGAATTGGATGAATCGCTTTCAATTTTTCGTTTCTTTTCCAGCTTTTTTGGGTTTATACGGTGTCGTTTAATGGAAACATTACAGACAATTTCACATGTCCAAAAGGGAAAGGAGTGACCAACCACAACCATAGAAACAAGAAACATAACACACAAACAAAACGAAAAAACACGACAAACTCTTATTGTCCATTTTTAAAGCATTTAGATGAAAATAGTGACCGTAACTCCATTTCTTCGGGTTTGAAGCTAGGAGTTTTGTTATATTAAGGATTTGTTCGAATTAACTTCTTAAGGCGATTAAAAATGCTTTAAAAGTCAATACCCTAACCGAAAACTCGCATGTCTAAATTTCAATAATTTCCTTGTTGTAAGTGTTTTTCAACTATGTGAGCACTTTCTCGTAGCTAGTTGTAATCGTTTTGACATAATACCTTTAATTTGTTCGTTCATTTTTTCAACCAAAATCACATGTTAGTAAGACATTTGAAACCATTGAAAAAAAAAAAAAAAAAGTAAGAAGCTAAATTCAAAACAACAAAAAAAAAAAAAAAAA